GGGGGGGGGGGGGTGGATTTATTCCACCCCGTTTATTATTTTGCCTCTCACTTGACACGGCATTTTTTTAAGATACATTCACAATTTACATAAGTGTTCTACAAAGTTGTGTACAATGTGTGGTGTTAATGCTCAAATGTAAAGGGTATTTATTCGCCTGCCCACCAGTTACCATAGCAACAGTCCACTTCTCGTTAACTGTGCCACACGACGTCTTTTTAGTGGCCGACCAAAAAACATCACCTGGAACATTAAAATCCTGTTTTAATTCTCTAAAACATGTTTAATTTACAGTTTGATACCACTAAGACTTTAAACAGGGCATATACACTTAAAGCATATAGATATTTCTGATATGTGTGTGTATTATGTAGGAGTTTTGTTTTCCTTGGTTCGTGATTGGTCGTGCAGCAGCGGACGTGGTATAGCTACGTATAAGATATACTTGTTTACCTGTAGCTGCAATGCTAACTAGATAAGCTATGCCTAGTTCTTCTGGAAAGGCAGGCAACTTTTGTATTGTTCTATCCTAGAAGTACATTTAGCTGCGCCTTGGGACACGACAGCCTCGTTTTCTTGTCGCAGCATCGTTTGAGGCCAAGGTATGTGTTTAAATGACCCGTAAAAACCGCAGCCATTAACAAACAAACAGGACCAAACAAGTGAACTTGTGTCTGCAGTCTGACTATCGATCATACGACGTTAGCGGTGTGTTTCTACACGACTGCAGCGGTATCTTGCAGGAATAACGCGCTTAAATGCGTTTTGTTGTCCGTGTCAGCGGTCGGATCTGTACTGTAACTGTGAGTAACGTTGTGGGTTGCAGATGATCGAGGTGGTGGCCTCCATGGCCCGAGGCCCCGTGTTTCTGGCCGGGGAGCTCATGGAGTGTCTCATCACATTCACCAACCCGATGTCCCACCTGTCCACCTCTGCCAGCAGGTAGGGTTGAACTCCTGGGACTCCTTTTCGCCTCTTCACTGATCATAGACTTGAACATACTGAAGATGTGCCGATGACACAATCTATAACATAAGATATTCCTTTAATAGT